TCACTGTACTACTATAACTACACTACGACAATTCTCTCCTTGGCCACGGAGGGATTGTTTTCGCCATCCATGATCCCACGTCTGCAGTCATCATGCACACATAACTACACTACGACAATTCTCTCCTTGGCCACGGAGGGATTGTTTTCGCCATCCCACGCCTGCAGCCATCATGCACACATAACTACACTACGACAATTCTCTCCATGGCCACGGAGGGATTGTTTTCGCCATCCCACGTCTGCAGCCATCGAGCACACATAACTACACTACGACAATTCTCTCCATGGCCACGGAGGGATTGTTTCGCCATCCCACGCCTGGAGCATACCTGTGTATGAAACCGAGGTGTTGTTAGCAGCGGGTCTTCGCTTCCATAGTCCGGCGACTTGGTACTCTCTGTCATCTTCACGTTTGGAGTGAAAATGAACGGCTTGTATATGGAGAGAGCTGGGTTGGGTGTGCCGGTGAACCAATGGCAAGGAGGGGCTGTAGCGTCGGGGGGAGGTAGCACCGAAACCTGACTACCTACAGAGGTAAACGCTCCCACCATGCAGATGCCGGATCGCTCGTCTCGGAGTATGTCCATCATGTCTTTCGCATTGAATTCACCTTCAGAAGGAAATGCCACACTATTGGCAATGCACTACCTAACACATGCTAAAATTATTGCCAGTATACTATAATAATACCAACATTATACAATACTATACAGTCAGTGTTTGCAACTTAAAATTCAGTTTGCTCAATTTTAAAACTGTAGGTACATTTAGCGCGACTATATTTTGCCCTCTGAAAAAGTACTTGAGAATTAGATTCGAAAAAATGAAACTTTGTGAATCATTAAAGGAATACTTTACTCTAGAATTTGAGAGTATATTATTATGATAATAGAATTATAAATAATAGCACATACCTATAAATATCTATAATTACGCATTCACGTTTGTCATAAAACAACATTAAATTTCGAAATTTTTATTTTTGGGTGCTGACATGACACCTGCAATTGTGCTGCCACCCTGAAAAAGTTGCGCATTCGCCAATTTATTTTGCAAGTTACAGACTGAGGGCCAATCACAAAAGTGCAATTATATTTATACTTAAATGCTATTTAACCGAACGATATTTATTTTAGAACAAATTTATCCATATTATAACTGAAACTATATGTCGTATATAAGATATTGCAATCCTTCTGCTATTAAATTAATAAATAAGAAACACCCTCGGTCTGTAGCCTGCAGCCAAAACGTTGCTTTGCGCAACTTTTCAGTAGGTGCGCTGCCAGTGGCGCCACCGTCGTTGTAAGCAACGGTATAGCCGTCAGTTGTAAAAAATTTTTTTTAAATATTTCTAATAAATATTGTACCATAAAACTTTTTATGAAGCACAATTTTAACAGAAATCAACTGAAAATAACCCTAGAACCTAGAGTAAAGTTTTCCTTTAATATCATCTAACGTCAATCAAGCTACGAGACTCTGTACCTGACATAGATTTCTTTGTCAATAGCCATTTTCCAGCCACCTGTCGCGCCCCCGGTTCTGAACCCATACTGGAAAAGGTTTTTGAGAAGTGGAAGTCTCCATCCCCATTCCAGTAACCTTTTGCCTTGGCATGTTCTTTTAATCCTTCAGCCATAGCATCGATTTTACTTCCTATGGTTAGTTCATTTGATATATTTCTTACACCACCTGAAAATATGCAGACAGGATGCAATTACAGCTGATTACAGAACATGTTACATGAGTAACGATATTTATTCTTGATACTAAAATTCTATAAACTCTGATAAAAAACAACTATATAAATAGTAAAAAGAAATCATCGCCCTGTATTAAAACAGTTATATATGAAACTTGTGTCAGCAATTCATGACTACAAACAAAAAACCATTGAAGAAGACAAGAATGTGACTAAATTTTGGCAGTGCTAAACTCACTGTCCACTCGTTCTGCAGCCCACCAGTTTCCAGCCGTCTCCAGCACCCATGCTTCGGTCCGGTCAGCAACGATGTAGCTGTTGTGATACGACCACGCCTCGTCCTCAGCACACGCCCCTCCCTGTCCGTGCTGCTCCAGCACAGATGTCATAGCGTGTACAGCTTCCTTCGCCGTTTTTCCTCTTTCCAAACCAAGTCTTCATGGAAGAGATGTTACTTGGCAACATTTTTGCATATCAAGCTTACCGGTGTGATTTCATATTGATTGTTGTAAAATTGTTAGCAAATATGCACTACTACATCAACGGGTACAGCAATTTGCATCAGATTTAAATGTGATGAGGATACTTTACTCTACATATATGCTGTTAAACTAAAACTTACATACCTCACATAGTCCATGCCTAACAAGCCATCATCACAGGAACATGGTTCTTTTGTGTATACTGCCTCGTTCCCAATGCAAACGCCATGTTCATTTGCACCCATTTCTGCACCCCAAAGCCATGCCGGGCGCGACAATATTGTTGCATGTGTGTGTGGCACCTGGTCAATCTTGATGTAAGTACACTAAATAAAAGATGGCAAACTCTTAAAAAACTGAATAAACTACACCTAACAGAAACTGAAACATTCAACTGCTATGACAACACATCTTCCAATGACTGTACACTCGAACTCTGAATTCCCACAGGAAACACATATAATAAAACATATGTAGTAAAAAGGGTGCTTTATGCATACAAATACATATATATATTGATGCGAGCTTCCATTTTCTATGAGAAAAACTTGTGAACATTCTAAGTGTTCCTCATTCCTAAAAGTTTAAAAAATGCCAATTGGTACATACCCGAAGTTTGCTGCCTTCAGAGTGTTCTGCTGCTGGTAAGTATATCACCTCCTGCACTTCCCCATGTGGTCTGTCAGAGTTCTTTCCAAATACCACACAACCATTCTCTGTTGCTGGTGGCAAAGCCACAAAGGTATCACATGATGTCACTTTCTTTGCCATTGCCAGCTGAGTTTTATCCTAACTTTCTGAAAAATGACAAAAACTACAACCTGAACCAAGGAGTAGGACTAATATAACAATTGTACAAGTCCGAGTTTGAGAGGATGTATTCAGACTAATCTGAACATACTAAGGAGTTAAAGCCCTGTGAATACTTAGAAGTTTTAAATTAATGTCACAGTTTACTAAAGACGACGAAAGAGAGTTCCAGTAGGAAATTACCGAAACATGTGAATTAAATTTGAGTGGGTCCTTTGAGGATTTAACGTGGTGAAAGGAATGGTCAGAGTCTTATAGTTATAACAAAGTATGACAAGATGATTTCATCAAGCAAGAAGGGATGGCAATTTCAACATGGCCATGACAAATCTTGTAGAAGCTTGAGTTTTGTATAAAGAAAACGTGCAGATGTTGAGAGTATTTTCAGAACTGGCATTGTCGTTTTTTGCAGCTCTGTGCTCAATATATTTCAACTGGTTGCAGTTTCGTAGGGTATACAGGGCCCAGCCAAACGAGGCATATTATAGAACGAGGAGCACCATAGTTTTAAAGGCCATGGACCAGGCTTTAGTGACACCAACTGTGGCATAGTATGCCCAGCGTGTCATGCAGTGGCCTTTTTACAAATGTAATCGATGTGAGCGTAGAAGCAAAAGTTGCTGCGGATAATAACATTCTAAATATTTGCACAGCAGAATACATGATAACTGATAAGTACTAAAGATTAAGTGGGTAGGTAAAGGTTAAGGGTGATATGGACTGGGTAGTGCGTAGAACTTTGAATTTGTCAGGATTAAAGGTCTTATAATATACTCTGTAGGGCTACTTGGGGATCTTTACTGTAAATCGTACAGAAGTATACAGAAGGCAAAAAGAAGTATATAACTAAATTAATCAATTTCGCTTAAAGGTGCTTTCCCTCGAAACTTCAAGCAGCAAACATAAAATCAGGCAAAAATGAATTATTTTAACATTGCACGTTTGTAATTGCCTATATATGTGTGATAGGTAAAAAAAAATGCTCAGGAATACGTTCATTCAAAGCTTTTAGACTTCAAAGTGAAAGTGTCGGGTCGAATGTTTCAAACAGCGTTTACTTTTGCCGCTCTGCGGCGATGTTGTGACGCGCCTCTTGTTGCCATGCGGTGTTGCCAAGCACTGAAGGTCATGAAGCCTGTGTCATAGATATCATATAACACGTGTGTTATATGATATCTCTGGCTGATCTGGTTACGTGACCTGCGTCGACTCTTGCCGCCATGATACAGAACCGCGGCGAAAAGCGTTTTTCAGGTTGTATTTTCGTTGAGCAAATATAGGCTTGATACATGATTTTACAGTTTTATTTTCAAAGCTAATGTTCAGTTAAAGTGTAGCGAGATATTTACTTACGTTTTTACACTGGTTTGTTACAAAAATGTGCGTGGGAAGGCATCCTTAATAGACCATTGATAAAGGTTAAGAATAATGAATAGCATTATTAATACGTTACTACAGAGTTTCTTCTACATAGGAGGCACTACGGCGCACCGCCGTTGTCAAATTTAACAACGCCGCTGTGAAAATGTTCCTGTATTTACCCGCCGTTGTCAAAATGATGTCAACCCAAAAATAAATAG